ACCCAGATGGTATGCATTACAGCAGAAAGCCTTTATGAGTTGGCCCATTATTATCCAGATCTGAATATGCATGCTAAAGGCTGTGCATCTAGAATGCTTGCTGGGTTATTTGAAATAGTTGTTTCTAAGGAAGACATATGAATAGAATACGGAGGGGGTCAGAAGCTATTTATTTCAGCAGAATTAAAATATTTTAAAATCACAGTAATGCACACTTTGTAGGCATGAGTATCTGGGGATACAGAAGACAGTTCCTGCCTTCACTTATGTTTTAGTGCTAGGAGCCAGAACACAAGCCAAGAAACACATAAGACTGAGCTTGAGGAGGTTGCTTTATATAGAGAGGCAGGATCTCAATGATGAGAACAATCAGAGTCTTGAACCTTTGTGGRAAGAGCCTTCCAGGAAGACTACTACAGGTTGGATTTGAAATATCTTCCCCAAAGCCTATGTGTTAAAGACTTGGTCCCCAGCCCACAACACTATAGGGAGGTGATACAACTTTTAGGAGGTGATACCTAAAGGAAGGACATAGTCACTGGGAACACTCTTTGTTTCCCAGCTGCCATGAAGTGAGCAGATTTGCTCCACCATGTGCTCCCTGCAGTGGTGCCCTGTCATGCCATAGGCCCCAAAGCAACAGGCCAACCAATCATGGATGTAAAGTCTGAAACTGGGAGCCAAAATAAACCTTTCCTTCTTTTAAATTGATTTATCTCAGTATTGTGTCACAGACAAAGAGTGAATGGAAAGTGCAAAAGGCCAGGGGAGTTAAAGGGGGAGTTAAATCTTCCCCTTAAACTTTACAGCTTTAATATTTCTGTGTGAATGAGAGTTTTYAGGAATCAGATCATTCTGGGTAGGACTGAATTAAGAAGTTCAATTTCTTACTGGATACAATGATAGGCCAATAAAGTTTTTAAATTCAGGATGAAAAGGAACTGATTTCTATTTTTGAAAGATGACTCTGATGTAGTGGTGGCAAAAATGGAAGTCTGTCCACAGACTTCATTCACACATAAACACAAACATAGAAATGTATATATTTCCAGGCATGGTGGTGCACATCTATAATCCCAGCAGCTCAGGAGGCTGAGGCAGGAGGATCATGAGTTCAAAGTCAGTTTCAGCAACTTTGTGAGCCCCTAAGAAACTCAGCAAGACTCTGTCTCTAATAAAATACAAAAATGGGCTGGGGATGTGGCTCTGTGGTTAAATGCCCCTGGGTTCAATTTCTGATATTAAAAAAAAGTATATAGTTATTTTTAAAAAGGCAAAAAGTGATGGCATATAGCACTTATTCTACAACTGGTTGCTGGTTTTTTTTTTTTTTTTTTTAGAATTCCTCTATGAAATTATGTTCAGGGTTAGTTTACAGTCTCCCAATCATATACATCTTGTTTTTTCCTACTCATCTTTATGCAGTATCTTAATAGGAAAAACACCAACTTAGCATTTTAACATTTGGCCCCAGAATATAGTCATTGGATTTGGCTCTGAATGACTTTTGGATTGTCCTGAAAGAAAATCACTTATTTTCAAAGAAAAAATTATTTTCAACAAATGGATTGCCTACAGACGTGATACTTTTTGAGTAGCATCAGTGGAATGCATATGCAGTTTACTAAGATGCTTACTTTGAAATGTTAAAAAACAATCATTTTAGTCACCAAATAATTATTCACAAATCACTAAGTACCAGTACCTGTTTCAGGCACTGGGGATATATTAATGAACACAACAGACACAATCTCTTCCTACTGAGCTTACATTCTAGTGGAGGGAGACAGGCCAAACGAGCAATCAAAATAAGTAAACTATAAATTATTGTTAAAGATTATATAAGAGCAAAGTGAGAGAGATTTGGAGAGGTGGAAGAAGGTCCTCATTTTCAATAATGTCAGGTTGGGCTTCACAAAGATGGTGACAGTTAAGCAGACCTCAAAGAGGAAATACACAGATGCTCAGGGAAAGACCATTCAAATAGAGAGAATAGCCAATGCAAGGGAATGTGGCTGGCAAGGTTGAGGAAAAATGTGGTGGCTACTAGTAATTGAGTAATTAGTTGATAGAACTGAAGGACATAAAGTCAGAAAGTAAGGAGATAGACAGCAGATTATAAGCAACTTGTAACTATGGTAAGAATTTTGGCTTAACCACAGAGGGAGGAGAGCCAAAGCATCTTACTGTGTTTTCAAAGGATTTCTCTGACTACTGTGATGTAAATAAACTAGAGGAGCAAGAGTGAAAGTTTTCATGTGTTTTGGAAAATAGTAACATTTCCTAGACATATCTCCTTAATTTTATTAAAGAGGAGAAAGGAGCCAAATCAAARATTTTTTCAAAAATATTTCGGATCCTATCTTTGCTCTTTATCATTCCTTATCATAGCAAATTTCTTTCTATCAACCCCAATTTCTTCCAGATTTTGGCTCAGAGTGTCCCTAGACTACTTTCCGGTACAATATTAATTATTTTGTCCTGTGTAGAAGTCAGGATCTTCTTAGTGGAAAGTAACTGAATACCTGACCCAAAAAGGCTTAAGCAACAGGCCATTACTATTTCACATGGTGAGCAGTAGGACAAATGCAGAGCCAGGGAAGATTAATTTAGTACTCAGTGAAATCTGGGCTCTGGTACCTTTTCTGTATTTTTCCTGCTTTTCTCTCATGGTTACAAGATGTGCCACTGTGACTCTCTAAACATATCTTGCTCACTGGAGGGTGGTGAAGACAAGAAGTAAGGAAAAGATTTCTTTTTATGGGACTGAAGAATAAAACCCTTCCCCTGAAGCTCCCCACCCCTCATTTCTCATTATGTACTGACCAGTCACGTTCTTAGCCCCTCAATCAGTCCTTGACAAAGAATCAGTGGTTCTGGTCAGTGGTTCTGAAAGTATGATCTGTGGAATCCTGGGGAGACCTTTTCAGAGAGTTATATTTTAATATAATAATATATTTTTTTGCTATTTTCATTCTCTTATGGGTGCACAATGGAGTTTTGCAGACCTTCCTAGAAATAGTGCAATCATTGATTGCAGAAGCAAGTATGAAGATCTGAATGCCTTCTTATATTAAGACAGAAGTTAAACATATATGAAAAATTTTAAATACCATTTCTTTTATCAATTTTTTGAAAATTGGTTTATTATTCATTACAATGTGCTATATATATGTTGACTTTAATTTTTATCCTATTTTTTAAAAATAATAATTTTAAATTCTCAGTTTGAGTTTTTAGTATGACAAATATTGACAGATAGAACCCTCATAAAGAAAAGCATTTTATGCATGGAAAGGAGTCCAGAGACCAAAAGATTGAAAACCTCTGGTTTATTCAGATAGGTCTGATTGATTCATCCCTGGGCTACTAAGGGGAAGGTCAAACTTTTCAAAGCTCACCTTGGCCTAACCTCAAAACTTCTTCAAATATTACCATCAATGGTAAGGTCACAACAGGGTCTGCCAGACCTTGTTTATTGAACTGATTCATCTTCTAGTCAGGAGGTGAGCTCTTCTTTTTTTGACCGGGAGGTGGTGAAATGGTCAAAATGAAGCCCTAAGGGCTGTTTGAAAAACAACTGTCAATATTAAGTGGCTCCTTGAGATGGAAGAAGTGTGGTATTTTGAGAAGTGGACATTTGAAATTTCAAAACCTCTGTTGGAACAGAGGGAGTTAGGGAACAAGTTATTAATATTTTGAGTTAGGGAATAAGTTATTAATATTTTGCAGTAATCGGTTTCTCTCTAGCCCCAGTTCTGCGCTAAAAGCGACCCTACAAAGATGGGCCCTACCTAGGCTTTTGGCAGTCAGTACCTGTGCTCAACAGCAGTTAGTAAGTAGGCTTCCACTATGCCCAAGGCACAAAGGAGAATTTCCTTGGGCTCTTGAGGTCCTCGTCACCTTGGTCCATTCATTTTCTCACCTTGATCCTTCATCCAGACTGGCGATAATGTGTGTGTTAAGTTGTTTTTTAGTGTTAGTATTTCTCATTCTGCTTTCATCCCTATTTTGGTTTCGAAGTGCCCTCAGGAGCCTCCTCAAAACCCTCAAATCTATTTTTCTCCTCTTGAGTAAATTCTCTTGGCTACACATATACACACCAAAGTGCAGGTTTGTGTTTACAACCCAACTCACATGCCTGAGATTTCTGCATCTTTTTTCTTTTCTTGCCCGGGGAATTTTTTTATTGTGAAGGGATTGGGGAGGAGCTGACATGACCCTGGCCACGTGCAGCATACATTTCCTTTGCACACATTTTGCCGAGTGGTTGTGAGCCATTTTTGGATAAACTTCTACTACACTAGTGCCATTTCTTCCGATCTTCCATTTTTTTCTGCTTTTTTCTCCCCAGGTCCGCTTCTTTGCCCTAATTTTACTTGTACCTTTCTACCGGTTGGTTGTTTGCATCCACGATTCCCGAGGCTTGAACCTCCCTTCCCTGGGGCCTGACCTAATTCTGGACGCCGACTCGGTTGTTTGGTTTATTCTTCCACTTTAGTAAACGCACGTGGCTCTTCCGGGAGCTTCACTTTTCTCCTGGAATGGGACTGGGACTCAGTGGGGGCTAAGAAAACGTGCCCTAAACCAGCCAGGACCTCGGCCCCCACAGAGCCCCGGGTCCGAGTGCAGCGGGCGCGAGGAGGGGGCGGGGAGCCGGGCCAGCCGGGTGAATCGCAGGGCGTAACAGGTGCCACGGTCACAGCTGCACCAGCAGAGCGCTCGGGCTCCAGGGATAAGGTTTTCTTTTTCTCTGGGTTTTTTTGGAGGTGAGGAGGAGGCTCGGTGGCACCCACCCGACCAATGCAGGCCGCGGTTGTTCATCGCCTAGCAACTAGCGGAGCCAATGGGCGGCGGCCAAGCCTGCGGCGCCGGCGTGCGGGGGCGGGGTGGGAACCTCGCGAACCTGCCGGGGGCTGGGAGGCGGCTGCAAGGGGCGGAGCGCAGCTCGGTCTGGGGCGGGGAAGGCGGGAGCCCGCGGCGGAGGAGGGGCGGTCGGCGCGAGGCGCTGCGTCCCGCCGTGCCTGTGCCGGCCCGCGGGGCTGCGGGAGCCGCTCTTGGACACCGCGAGCGGTGACTCCCCGCCGCTCCCGGGGGCTGTGACGGTGAGCAGCTCTCCCCTCGGCGGGATTGTGACATGCCCGGCCCGACAGGGGGCGCTGGGGTTGGCGGGGCTGGGGGCAGGCGGGTCGGGGTGGGGGCGGGCTTGGAGGTGTGCACTGGCACCTTGCTCGGCGCCCAGCTTCTCGGCAAGAAGCTCGGCGGCCGTTGGGGCCGTTGGAGGGTGCTGGCGAGTGTTGGCTCTCGCCGCGTCTGGAGCAGGAGGTAGGTGCCAGCTCCGGGATCATTCCTGCTGGCGGTTGAGCATTGCGCCCACGAGAGGGCTCCGGCCGGGTCGCCCCAAACCCTCTCCAGGATGGAACTAGGGTGGCGCCTGGCTGCGGATGACGAGCGACGCGGAGRCGTGGGGGAGGAGGGGTTGGCCAATTTGGGGCTGCAGTGGCTTCTTAGAGGCGGTGGGGCTTGCGGGCTTCAGCGATTTGTCAGTGCCAGCCGCAAGAGGCAGTCGTTAAAATGAGTTATTGGGTGGCCAGTGGCTCCTGCAAGGGGAAAAGCACCCGGGTAGAGAGCTAAAGGTCTCGGGGAAGAGTTTACATCATTCAAGAGGCAGGAATGTTTGAGAAATATTTTGGCTTAGAATTTTCCAGTAAAGTACAGTAAAACAAATTGTGAGCTCCCTGCACCTCTTGGAGTCTGTGCTAGTCGCCTTGTTATGCAAGTCACTTGGGCCCAGAAAGTAGCATCTGCTAAATAATTTGCTCTCAGCACACTTATCGGAATTCTTATATTAATACTCTATTTCAGGGTTCACAGTTGTGAATGCCAAACTCATTATTAGAAACACGATAGTTTTTGTTGACTGATGAGACATATTTCCCTTTTCTGTCATATAATGGATTGAAGATTTGGAGAGGGTGGTTCAGAAGCCTAAGAGTGAGGGCTTCTTGGACTTAGAAACTGCTGGGATCCCTTAGCTATTCACATCAGAGTTTAGGTCCCAGGTTGATTATGAATGGGGAGATGCTATGGCACTCTGGTTGAGGAGGAACAGGGGAAGAAAATCCTGGCAGCCTTATAATTTGATCCTGAACTAGAAAGGTCTGGATAACTTGACACATTTAGGACACAATAAAATTTGAAAATTTTAGTTAGTGCTCTGGAGAGAAACGAAATGCCTTTAAAGTTTAGATCAAGCTATTTTGAAATTTTGAAAGTTATAGGTATATTTATGAACTACACAAAACAATCCATCAAATTTCTCATTCTAGAGCTATCATAGGCCTAGGAAGCTTACCTTATTTGTTCATTCAAACAAAGGTCCCTAATTTGACACCCTTGTACCTGCTATCAATGAAAGTTTCTCAAACAAAATTGTTCTTTGAGAAAAAGAGTAGAAACTAATACAGTTAAAAGGAAGGCTTTTCTCCTGACTGCCTGGGCTTCTAAAGCAAAGTCATTTTATACCCTTCCTTCCCTTCTCTTTCCCCATCTGTACAGTGAAAATAATAACCCTAGGATTAAAGAACGTGGGTGAAGCAGATTGAAGATAACTGCAAAGACCGGTTATTCTAGGATGAAATGTGAAGATCTCCTCATCACACATTGCGCCTTGTGACAAGGCTTGTTAAGCACATTATGTTCTAAACATGCTGAGGCAGATATATAAGAAAACTAAAATGTTAACTGTTCAGAGTGTTTTCCATAGGTCTTAAATTCTTCACAAAGTTACTTAGGCTTTTCTAAAACTTGATAAAGTCTGCTCTTTGGCCAAAGTTGGCTGTGACACAGTTTTAAAAAGGCAGACATTTGAGTACCTTTGGATAAAAAGCTGAAAAGACATTACCTCAGGTTTTTGTGCTTTTAATCCATTTCACATAAATTAGAGCAATAAGTGGGTGTGGTGTTACATGTGCATAATCACACATCTGGAGAGACTGAGTGTTACATGTGCATAATCACACATCTGGAGAGACTGAGGCAGGGAGATGGTTTGAAACCAGCCTGGTAACATTGAGACCCATCTAAAAAAGAGACAACTTTTAAGTGATATTTTTCTGTAACTTTTCTGATGGTTGTGAACATGCATTATTGGTCTGACCAATTGCTTATGACATAAAAGAAGTTTTGACACTATGTGGAACTGTTTTGTGTGTAATGATATACTTAGCTGGTAATGAAGGTACAAGCTATCTCCATGAGTTTATAAGGTAGAACAGAGAAATACCATTCTTATTAATAATGGAAAACAGCCTAGAGTTATGCCTTTTGATGGTGGGCCAATATTTTATGTAGTACGAGCAGATTTACCAAATCATGCTGTAATCATTCTTTCAGTAGCATTAAACACTTAATAAGCTGCTACTTGCCAGACCTGAGGATAGAAAGATGAGTAGTAGAGAAAAAAGGGGGAAAATGCTGATGTAGAAGGCATTAGAAAATTTCAGCTGAGCCTTGATTAAAGGGAACTTCACCAAGCAGCTGGTGCATTTTGCAGCAGTATATGGTTGAAGAATTACAGGTGGTTTGGTTAGCCCTAGGTGGGTTGTGTTTGTGGTAAAGTTCAAGAATGGTGCCATGAACTTTGACCGGTAGGCAATATAAAAGGTTGTGTTTATAGGAATTATATTTACTTTTTACTTTAGAAGAGTCCATCCACCACAGTCAATAATTTGAATGACCCAAAGTGTTCTTAACTTTGACATTCCAAATAATATTGGAAGTTAACTTTACATAGCAGTTAGACTTAAAAAAAATTTTATTAAAGGATCAGATACTTTCGAAAAGCAGGAATAATTAATCATACAACAAACTATTGCTGAAAGCTCAGTTCTTGTCCCTGATGCCAATCCAATAGTGATTTTCTCAAAACACAGTTTTGAGAAAAAAGAAAAAGAAGGTTTATTGCTTTGCTAGCAAAGGAGAAACATAGGGGACTCCTGTCCCAGAGGCTGGGATTCTGCCCATCAGCAGAAACTGGGGGCTTTTAAAGAGGTGATTTAAAGGTTGCATTCCATGTGTTCTCTGTTGGAAGTTGTAATTCACTTGTTACTTTGAGAGATCGCCATCCCCAAAGTTTGTGCTACTTGTTCTATGGTAGATGTATACAGGGACAGATTACTCTGTTTAGGCTCTAGGCTTGGAAAGAAAGATAATCCTGTTTTCCCTGAGATTAGGGAGGGGAGAGATTAGGGAGGAACAGGGAGAGAGGAAGAGAAAGAAACATGTCCATTTTAAAAATAAATTGCAGTGGCAGAGCAGCAAGGGTTATATTCAAAGCATAAAGTGGACCACTGGTAAAAAACTTCTTTTGAGTATCTTCTACTGTTAAGACTTGGGGATTAGGGTTCAAACATAAATAAGATACAGCTCCATTAGGAGAAATTATTATGTATTACATAATCAGAATGCATAAAAACCTCACGTTCTAGCAGTACAGGAGCCTGAGATGAGAAGAGATATAAATTGTCTTTTAGGTTAGCAACAACAACAACAAGAAGTTCATAACAGAAATTAAACTGTAACCAGTTGTAAACAATCAGAATAGTCCTAACTAAAATTCCACAGTTTTTAACTTGCTTCATATGTTTCCTTCCCTTTCTCATATTGAATCAAATGTTTGGTTGCCTACCAAACTACTAGCTATGTAACCCAGTTCCTTAGCTGTCTTATTTTTGAAGGATGGTAATACAGCTACCTACTTCATAGGGTTGTGATGATTTGATAAATATCCTGACCATGCCTGGAAAAATAAGTTATATTCATTGAATGTATAGTATTTCTATTTGATATAAAAGTGCTATAATTTGAATGTGAACTGACTCAAGGATTGGGTGATGACTTGATGACTCCTTAATCTGCTCAAAAGGCTCTTGGTCTCCAAGCCCTAGAGTTTATCCCCTATTTGAACATACGGTGAGGGCATTTCTAAACTCAGTAAGTTCTGCACTGCAATCATTATTATCCATATACCCAAATGCAGTTTTAGTAATCTTACTCCTATGTTCTCTCTACTTAAATGACAGTATTTTCTGTTCAGTACCAAAGGTAGGCTTTTACATGAGAAAATAAATGCCTTCCCTTTGTATACTAGGCATGTTGTCAGTCTGACTTCTATAGTTTGTATCTTCAACTCTCCTCATTGTCACTGGTTAAGTCAGCCAGTCAGCCCATTACCATTAATTTTCCCATTTACTATATTTTTATATTATTTATAAAAGAAGTGTTTGCTTTATGTAAAAAAAAAGGGGGGGGGATAAAAAGCAAAGTTGTTGTTTTGTTTGGAATCAGCCATTGAACTCAGGGGCACTGAGCCACATCCCCAGCCCTATTTTGTATTTTATTTAGAGACAGGGTCTCAATGATTGCTTAGCGCCTTGCTTTTGCCATTTGCTGAGGCTGGATTTGAATTCACAATTCTCTTGCCTCAGCCTCTGGAGCTGCTGGGATATAGGCATGCACCATCATGCCCTGCAAAAGCAAAGTTTTAGACAACTTACTTGTGTAGTTCCTGGCATATGTGATCGCTAAAAAATGTTTTTGTACCAGGGATACTAAAAATGGTGCTAATTTTGGAAACATTGTTTGGAGGAGATTGGCAGAATATTGTTCTAAAGGACTTGTATTACTAAATATGATTTAAAAATATCTAGTTTAGAGAGTGGCCAATAGATACTTATAAYCCATCACTGATAAGGTTTTTGTCTSTAGTTTATCAGTCTTGTTAATTATTTGCAGTTTGGTTGGAAAGATAGCAACTTCAACATTCTTTCTGCTCTGTATTCATAGATTTAGAATATAACTACGTAGGACCTACAATATAAAAATAAGACAGCATCTTAGAAAATCATCAGTAAGCATAACCCATACAAAGAAGATGATGATGTCTGCTGATTTTTAATTTTTTTAAATAGCTACATTTAATATTCTTTCCTACTTTTAGATAGTTCACATTCTGGTTGTTCATTTGGAATCATTTCTGTCTGATTGAAATCTAACATCAGGGTGATATGCTAGAAAAGAGTACCTGTATCCAGAAATAGCAGCTGGTGTAGTGTACATACTCTCCTCTCCTGCAGTAGATATAGTAGTGTGTCATGGTTAAATGTGCTGGGCTACCAGGGTTGGAATCTTAACTTTATTGTGTTCTAGCTGTGTAACCTTGGACAAGAAAACTCCCTGGGCTTCAGTTTCCTCATCTGTAATGGAGGAAAGTATCTATTTGGATTGAATAAGTAAATCCATGTAAAATGCTTAAAATTGTTCCAAGTAAATGGTATATGCTTAATAAATTTTATTATATTATTAAAATTAGTTGAAATCTCTATTAAACATTGAGTTATGAAGATAATATGTACATGTTCTATTATAAAAATGTGGAGAAAAATTTGTAATATAAATGGCTATTCTCAATTTCATATTAGATCCCATGACAAATGTAAATATCATAGTAGAACAGACAATTCTTTAAAGATCATCTAGTTTAACCTCCTAATTTTACAGATGTGGAAACTGAAACAAAGAAATTATGATCAGTTCAAGTTTGCTTCTTAAGTGATGGAAATGTTGCTGAGAACCACAGGCCCTGACATTGGGTCTGTTGCTCTTTCAGTATTCTGTGCAGCTTTCCTGAAGTGAGGTTGCCCTGAACTAAATTGAACTAACAGTTTAGTTGAAGAAACAGGACGAAAACAGATGAATACATTACCAGTGGAAAGTCAGTGAATAACAAAATATCAGATGTTGTACATAGATTCTTAAGTGCCATATATGATTTAATGAACCTTTCCATTGAAGCAGAAATGCATCTTAGTTGCTTGATTCATGGACAGTTAATAGAGTAAAAACATTCCGTTTTGAAGAAAGTTGTAATGGTTATAAATAAAAGTCAGTCTCCCTCCTCCTTTCCCCCTACCAAGATGGATTATTAATTGAACTAGGGCAGAGTCCCACCTTTGCTAGATCTGCTTGTACTCTGACTTTATTCTTCCTAACAGTTGGGGAAAGTTTGGCTTCTGTGTTTTGGATCTCTGTGTTCCTGTTGGGCTATGTTCCTAAAGACATTCCCATAGACATGTTTTGATAGCCGGACATCCATTTGTAATGTTGCGGTTGAGATTAAGCTGAGTGCTTTCACACACAGGATCTCATTTTTAACTCTGCTTGAACCCCTGCTTCTAAAAATTGCACAAAATTATACATGTCTCCTAACACATTCAAGCTGCATAAAAGTGTATAAAGTAAAGGTCTTGGTCTTCCACCCCTCCTTGAAGCTAGGAACATCATCTGATCCCCAAGAGTGATATTTGTAACAATTGGTAACTTTTTCAGACTTTTCTCTTAAATGTATAGGTAGTTTGATTTTTCAAAAGTGGTGATCATACTGTTCCCATTAATCTTCTGTGCGTGCAGATCTACTCTGTTCTTTAATTATCCCAGAGTTGGGCTGCTTCTGACTATTCCATATGTTTTGGATTTTAGCTGTTTCTCTGATGCCTATAGTCTTCACTTTTTGTCATTACAATAATGATACAGTCTACAACATCCTTGTCAGTTATGCTTGCTTACTTGTTTGAATGTGGTAATAAATGTCAAGAAATATAATTGCTTATATTTTTTGTAGATCTCTGGCAAAGTTGTTTTCCCCTATATTATCAATTATCTCCATAACTCTCAGACATTTGTATAATTTCTGATCAGTTTTTGCCCAAAGAACTGCGTACTTTTGTGTGTTTAGATCATCTGAAAATACATTTTTGTTACTTATGCCTTTCTAACATTAGGTTTGGAGGTTGAGAGAGGTACAGTTCATCCCCATTGCCTTTGCCTAACATCACCGTAATTACCCTTACTATTGCGCCATATTTTTTTTTCTCATTATATGAAAACACATTCACTTATAGAAAATTCGGAAAGAACCAAAAAAAATAAAAATTACCCATAATTTTGTTTGTGTGTGTGTGTGTGTGAATGTACATAGAGAATAGAATGAAAGTGTTAACTGAAAAGCCTAGTCCTTGTTCCTGATGACAATCCAATAGCAAGGACACAGTTTTGAGAAAAAGGAAAAATAAGTTTTATTGCTTTGCTAGCAAAGAAGAAACACTGGGGATTCCTGTCCCAGAGGCTGTGTGACTCTGCCCATCAGCAGGAACAGGCTGCTTCTAAAGAGGTGACTCTAAGGCTACACTCCCAGTGTTCTCTGTTGGGAGTTGTAATTCACTTATTAATTTGGGTGGTAGTCATTCCTGAGATCCTCTGGTGCCTTTGGCTTCATTTCTGTGGTGGGTGTGTGCTCAAGGACAGATAACTCTGCCTTGGATGGGGAAGAAAGATAATCCTGTTTCCCCTGAGATTAGGGAGAAGGAGAGATTAGGGAGGAGGAGGGAGAGTGGAAGAGAAGAAAAGTCCTATTTCTTAAAAGGAAAGTACTGCTCTGTTTCTCCCCTTTTTACTCCTAGATTGGTCTTTCCATTTTGTTTTTCTGTTCACATGCAAACTTATAAATTTATGGAGCAGATTTCTAAAATATATATTTTATGTATAATTTTAGATTTTTTAAAAGACCAAATAAAATCAAGTTAGGTATTGTTCTGCAACCTTTTTTAAGTTACCAAACATAGTTTGGAAACCTTTCCAAGTTAGTGAAATAGCTAATAATAACTAACATTTATTGAGCACTTACCATGTACCCAAGAACTTTTTTTTAAGTCCTTTAGATGTATAAGCTTATTTTAAAAAGTTATTAAATAAAATTATTAACTAAATTTACTGTTTGACCACAATAATAATCCTTTGAGGTAAAGACTGTTTTTATTCCCCTTTTGCAGATGAGAAAAATGAGGCCCAGAGGAGATTTCTATTCAGGATCACTTAGTTTGTAAGTGGTGGAGCTATGGTTTGAAACCAGGTGGTCTGACTTTGCATCCTGTGCTTTTAACCATACTGTTTCTCATACTGCAGCAATAAACCGTTGAAGGGTATGGTATGTAAGGAGTTTATAAAGTACAGCATGTAGCTCCTTGTTCCTTAATCTAAGATAGCTTTGTTATGGCAGGTGTTGGCTAGGAGCTTGGCTGTGATTGTATCCCTTAGCCCAAAGGGATACACATGAAATGTTTTACCATAATTTGTGCTTTGCACTGTTTTATGTAATCTGTTTGCCCAATTGGAAGATCCAGTAAGAGGTCCTGTCTTTTAAGGGGCAGCGTTAGGACCAAAGCTTCTCTCCCACCACACACCAGGACCAGGACCCTTAAGAGAATGTGTCTGCACTCTAGGGTGGGGTTGGAATCCTGATTTTTCTCCTCCTTAGCTCTATGACTTTGGGCAAATTGCCTAACCTCTCTGCTTCAATCTTATCTGAAAGGGAAACAATATACTACAAGGTTGTTGTGAGGACTGACTTCATAATACGTATAAACAGTGCCTGGCACATGTGTATATTAAATTAGTAGACTGTACTTAGTTTTCCACCAGTTATCATGTTAAACACTCACAACAACCTTAAGAAATAGGTATTATCACTCCTATTCTACAGGTGAGGAAACCAGCCTGGAGAGATGGTCTTGCAATAAGTGACCTAAATCAGGATGTGACTCCAGTCTGTTGATCCAGGCCTGTGAGGGAGCCATGCATTGTTTGCCCTGTGTTTTCCAACTGTGAAGCCACCTAATAGCTACAAACTCATCAAGAAGGCAAATTATTAGGATAATAGCAATTTTTGAATTTTGGTTGTTTTGGTATGTATTAAAATTTTATTTAAGATTAATTCATTTTTGAAAAATATCCATATAATTATACCACACAGGTGAAATAATTTATAGATTTTGAATTTGTAGATTTTCTAAGAGATTGAATTAAATGTGTTTCTATACCAATATACATACTTAAGTAGTTTTGTTTAAGTTAGCAGAAGTATTAGCAATGGAATTGAAAGTTATAGTCCCTTTTGGAACAAAATTATAGTAGGAGGTGGTATTATTTTAAATAATCATATTTCATTTTGATAGTTATAATAACATTTAAAATATGCGGATAACTAAATTCTCAAGTTTTATGACTGAACTTGTAAGATAGGACTAATGTTTAAAGATTTATTTTTAACAATTTTATTTTCTTAACCCAACAGTTTGAGAACTATAACTTCGTAATATTTTAGCAAAAAACAATAACAACAAAAAACCTTTAGCTGTTTGTAAAAAATCCTGTGCAATATTTAGAAGCCCAGGTGGTCTAATGTTATAATGTATAACAGAAAGCTATTATTTCCTGACACTTGATTGCATTTGGTTTTAGAATTATGATTAGGTGGGCATTGTACCTTCTCAAGTTTGAATTGCAAGAGAGCTTGAAAAGAACACTTAAAATAGTGTAACCTGTAAAGGGAATCTTGTAATCAAGATACTGTGTTGGGGGTTGGGGAGGCTGGGGCTGTGGCTCAGTGGGAGAGTGCTCGCCTAGCACAGGTGAGGCACTGGTTTCGATCCTCAGCACCATAGAAAAATAAAGGCATTGAGTCCAACTACAACTAAAAAAAAAGAAAAAGATGCTATGTTTCAGCTGAACTCTGAAATTTGGGGGATAATAAGGATAGGAGAAACGGAATCAAGATTAATGCCTTTATTTTTTTTTCTCAAAGGACTGACTCATCTTTTGCATCTTTTCCATTGCTGTTTTTTCTTTATCTTGTTTGCTTTCCAGAATGAACGGATTTATGATGAGTTATTCTCTTGAGTATTCACTGACTATTCTGTTAAGCTTGGTGGGAGGGAATGCAGAAATATAAATGTATGGTACTTTGTTTTATCTTTCACAGATAGCTCCTATCTAGTAAATATATGGAGGGTCTAGCATAAAGTTTTGTGGGCTGGAGTAGTTGGAGAAGACTGTGCAGGGTTTGGTGGTGGTTGAGCTATGTTGTGAAAAAGCATTAGTTTGGGGGTGGGTGAAAGAAAACATAGCTATAGGCACAGAATTTGAAGTGAGTATCAAATGTGAGACTCAGTTCATTGTAGAGATTTGTTGAGCACCTGCTATATATGGGGAATGTGGCTACAGAGATTGAGTACATTCCCTACCCTCTAGAAGTTCATAAAATAGTGGGGGAGGCATTTAACTGTAACGTGGGATGATTAATTGCATAGTGGATGATATTGTTTTAAACCTGATCATTTGCATTTGTAATGTATAATACCATTGTTAGTTGTTTCAGTAGGAGACATGTAATTATGGAGTAAGTTTTAGAAGGGACTTAGAGACATACATATATACATTTTTTCATATGCTTTGTTTATTTTTGTATAACAGATTACCCTAAAATTTAGCAAGTTAACAAGCATTTACTATTTCATAATTTCTGTGARTCGGGAAWCTGGGCACAGCTTAGCTGGGTGCCTGTGGCTCAGAATCTCTCACTAGGTTTCCATCAAGGTGTTGGCCAGACTATAGGCAGCTCAATGTTTGAAGTAAGATCCACTTCCAAACTTATTCATGACTTAGCAGGCTTCAGGTCCTGTTGGCCACATACATAAGTTCCTTGTCACATTGGCTTCTAAATAGGACTACTCATAACACAATAACGTGCTTGCCTCATGAAGAGGGATTTGAGAAACAGTAAGTTAAAAAAAAACAAAAAGCCACACCCTTTCTATAATCCAATTTTCAAAGTGAAATCCCATCACTTTTGTTGTATTTCTGTTAGAACCTATTCACTAAATGCAGCCCATACTCAAGAAGCAGGAATAACGGGTCTGCGTGAGAGGCTGCCTACCCCAAAGTTCTACAGGGTTTTGATGTGTATTAAGAACCCGAGTGTTAACATGAACTAGGTAAGGAACTTTTCTGATGGAAAAAAAAAAAAAGTGTAATTCTCAGGAACCAAATGTTTTTGTTAGGTCTGTTTCAGTGTTGTATTAATGTTTAGGATAGGGTAGGAAAGGGTTTATAAACGAGAAAGAAGCTGATTGTGGCAAAGCAGGGATGAATTTTAAATTTTATAAAAAATGAAATAGTTTAAAGTAGATTACAAGATCTGAATTTATTTTTTCTTTTTCTTTTTTTTTTGGTACTAGGGATTGAACCCAGAGGTACTTTACCACTGAGCCACATCTCCAGCCCTTATTTTTTATTTTCAGACAGGGTCTGGATAAATTGCTTAGGACCTCACTAATTTGCTGAGGCTGGTTTTGAGCTTGCATACCTCCTACCTCAGCCCTCCGAGCTGCTGGGATTACTGGCTTGTTCCACCATGCCCTGCAAAGTGATCTTTTAAAGAAACTCTGGAGATTTTTTATTTCATTCTATTTTTGGTTGCTATAGGTAAATTTACATTTACAATGTTGAAAGGCTAAATAATGATAGAATGAAAGGAGCACAGGATTTTGAAAACTTAGTTTTGTGTCCTGCATTCACAGCCAATTATAAGCGTGACCTTGGGCAGTCCTGGTGGTGTGTGTGAGGATTCTTTAACATGAAGATGACGGATATGTGAACTTTAGTAAAATCTTCATTTTCTTTCAGAAAAGGTACAATAATAAGTTCAGATGTTTCACTGCTTCCCATTTCTCTGTTCAGATTCTAATCTAGAAAAAGCTACTAGATTATTGTTAAACTCTGCATAATCCTCTTTTCCAGAAAAGCCAGACTACTCTTGCTTGTTTTTTGTCTATAGTATGTGGCGTTGGTACTTTAGAACCCACAGCAGGGAAGACATGATATAGCTCTTATTGCTTCAAAAGTGGCAAGTTAACCTTTTTACCAAAATTATTGCCATTTTACTCTAGAAAGATTTTTTCATCATGAAGTCTATTGATTGGAATTTATGTTTAGAAGTACCTCAAATAAGAAAGGTTATTAGATGGATATATAATTTCTATCTGTAGTGAACAAAACTGTCTCTGGTGTTAGAACAGGAGAAAAATAATTCTTATTTTAAAAATTACTTTATAGGGTTTTTCTTGTTTTAGTGTATTTCAAAATTGTTCCTAAAAATTATAGATGAATGAAATGATTTTTAAAAGGTATTTAAATTTTTTATTCTTCAAGTTTTACTCATGATAGGTGGGTCTCACCCATCTTGAAATCTGATCAGCTGCCCCAACCAATGGTACATATATAGAAAATTTTAGGTTCCAAATTATTTGAACCAAAACATGATTTACTGTTAACTTTTTTCTTCTAATAAATCTGTAGTATCAAAGCCTAGTATAACAGGTTTGTTCTTATTTAATTCATCATAATTAATCATGTACACTCTATAATGATTTGCTCTGAATTGGTCAGTGTATAGTATGAACTTGTATTCCAGTGCCAGGTTTGTATTGGAGTCCTTGAGTGCTCTTGAAACTTGTGGCAGGGCTTGTTTGGTTTTAGTTTTATGCAAAGTAGATTTAGTTTTCTGTTTTTTCTTTTAAAAGTAACTTTGACTTATTTTAACATCTTTATAAAAATATTTGCAACTACCAACAATGAAATTTTAGCCATGATTGAATTAGAATACTATACCTTGCTTGAATTATCCTCTTTGGTTTTCAGGTATATATTGATTAGGAGTCCTAAGTTTCCTTTATTGAAAAAAATGGTTGAGTAAAATTTTTTTTTAATTGAAAGTCTCATAGTGTATACTTCGATACATCATGGAACAGAAGTGTTTTCATGGAAACTTAGGTAGTGTGAGATCATATACTGAAATTCTGTACTGTTAGAAAGTTCTTTATTTCATAGGACTTAAAAATGGAGTCTTGGTTTTCAACATAAACATTTAACAGGACCTGGATATTTTGCAGGATTTTGTTTTAGTTGACAGGGAACAATTCACGTTCTAAACCTGTAGACAGTGAAGAGGTAAATTCACAGTGAAAGAATAGCTGGTTTAAGTTACAATGTTGAAGAATGGATCTGTAGTAGACACATTTGTGTTTAGCATTTGAGTATGAGGAGAAAAGACAGGGCACTATTATATTTTATTTACGAATATTCACACAATATCTTCACACATGCATACATTCACAAAACGACAAAAAGATCTTTACAAGATACCTATTTGTTTTCTTCTTGTTCCTCTGCCCATATCTGTTGATTACAAAGAATTAGCCCACTACTAATATATCCATGAAGATACGTTTTTGAATCTTCTAAGGATCTGTGGTCAGTTTTTATTAAAAGCAAATGTGCATTTTGTTACAGATTTTAGAATCCTTTCATTTACACCATACAGCCCTGTGTCTAAATGATGATGATAACTAATATTTATTTTGTGTGTTCCATATACCAAACAGTGTACCAATTTCATACATTATCTCATTTAATCCTCATGGGAAATTTGAAATAAGTGTCATTATTTTGTTAGTTTACCAGTGGGGAAACTATGGCTCAGAGAGGTTATTTACCTAAAGCAGAGCTACATAAGAACAAATGGGTTCATAGCCCTTTGCAGTCTTATTTTACTTATAGCTGCTATCTCTGAAAACCCAGAAGTAAAATAAATGTTTTTCTTACTTGGTGCAGACTCAAATTTTATTCTGTTATTGAAGGCACTCATTTAAGGATAGTGGGATGGACAGAATTGATCAGGGTACCCTTTCTTACCAAAGCACATGAGTAGCATACTGGCAAAAGATTAGTGCCAGACTGGATAAGCTTCCACGTGTATGTATGCATGTGTGACATGACATGTAAAATAACATGTAACATCCTCTGCATTAAAATATATTGGATGCTTCTCCATAACTTGGAAATAATCCTTTTTTTTATTGGTTGTTCAAAACATTACAAAGCTCTTGACATATCATATTTCATACATTTGATTCAAGTGGGTTATGAACTCCCATTTTTACCCTGTATACAGATTGTAGAATCACATCGGTTACACATCCACGTTTTCACATATTGCCATACTAGTGACTGAAAATAATCCTTGATTCCTCATTTGCCCACATTTCAATCCATCCGCAAGTCCTAAAGGTATTTTCTTCATTAGGGCTGGGGATATAGCTTAGTTTAGAGTGCTTGCCTTGCATGTACAAGGCACTGGGTTCAATCCCCAGGCCCCCCCCCCCACACACACACATACACACAGGACATTTCTAATTCATTTGAACTTCCACTGTTGGAAGCACTGGGGTGTATCACTGGTCATTACACCTGGGCTGTGGCAGTGCCTCCTTATTGATTTCAACCTTTACTGTTGCCTACGTGTGATCTACTCAACAGCAGTTGATGAAATTTCTTAAAACATTAAGGAGATCATGTTACTTTCCTGCCTACAACTGTTTACCTATGTTTTATTGCAATTCAGAGAACTTTGACCCACTAATTTTCTAGCCTTGCTTACTGTGCTTCAAACACTGGATTTCTTTGTATTTCATACTTATCAAGTTCGTTTCCATCTCAGGTCTTTGTACCTGCTGTTTTTCTACCTATCTGCTTTTGGTCATTGATATTATTTAGGTCTCAGTTCACAGGGCACTATTGCAATAAAACTGTTTACCTATGTTTTATTGCAATTCAGAGAACTTTGACCCACTACTTTTCTAGCCTTGCTTACTGTGCTTCAAACACTGGATTTCTTTGTATTTCATACTTATCAAGTTCGTTTCCATCTCAGTTCTTTGTTCCTGCTGTTTTTCTACCTATCTGCTTTGGTCATTGATGTTATTTAGGTCTCAGTTCACATGTTACTATCTCAGTGTAGCCTTCCTTACTAACCCAGATACTCCCCATCCCCAAACTCTCATATTATCTCATTATCATGTTTTACTTTGTTTTTAGTTCTTGCAACTGTTAGTTTATTGCTTGCTTCTTTAGTGTCTTTTTCCCCCTTACACCAGAATGTGGACTTCTTAAGAGCAAAGCCTCCCTTGTGCCTAAAAAAATATGTCTGATACATAATAGGAGCTCAATAAATGTTTGTTGGATGAGCGAAAAGTTTCATATAACTTTTTTTGGGGGGGAGGCACTGGAGATTGAACTCAGGGGCACTCGATCACTGAGCCACACCCCCACCCCTGTTTGTATATTATTTAGAGACAGGGTCTCATGAGTTACTTTGCGCCTTGCTTTTTGCTGAGGCTGGCTTTGAATTTGCAGTAGCCTTCCACACTGCTGGGATTCAGGCCTGTGCCACTGTGCCCAACTCATCTTAACTTAACATCACATAATTATTTTTCATACCCTGAAATATTGAGGATACTGGTTATAAACTGTTAATCCTCAGTCCAGATCTGGCCTGAGGACACATTTTATTTGGCCATTGTTATTTGAGTTTCAATTTACAGTCAGGGCCATAGATCTTCAGTGTACAACTTGATGAAATGTACTTACATGTATGCCCACGTGATCAATTCTCAGACCAAGACACAGAGCATTTTTGGTACCCCAAAAGGTTCTCATATACCCTTCTACCCACTCCCCCACTTCTGACAATATAACTTGCATAGAGCTAAGAACTTTTAATTAGCTTCTACCATTTAAAAATAGGGAGACTTCACATAAAAATTCAGAATTCCAACATCTCTAAAAACTCAAAGTTCTATCAACATAGAACCTGCTTTCTCTTTTGACAAGTTACTTTAGTGGAGAAGCAGCTGTCCAAAGTGTTGGCACATGTTCTTCAGCTTGCCTGCAGACTCTACCCTTCCTCCTTCTGTCCCTGACCTTGAAATCAATTGCCAGTTGCCATTTATAATTTTACTCGAATTGTTTCTCTTGTGATGGAGAAATATCTTTTCTATTATCTCTAAAGAAGAGGAAACATGAATGGTAGATGGAAAAGGTTACATGTCTTATTTAGTTTACTTTTTTAGTTCATTTGTATTCTGGCCTTTAGATATTTGTTATCGACCCTAGTTCTACATAGTTCTGTTTCAAGGCTATTCAGTGTTCTGTGTATAAATGTCTCATTTATCCAGTCCTCTATTGTGGAACATAATTGTTTCTTTTTCCTATTGTAATGAACAACCTGTATATGAATCTTTGTATACATTACCTTATTAAAATAAAATTTTAGAAGTGGACTTTCTAGATGAAGACATTTTTTTACTTTTAATTTTGATACATAATTGCCAGATTGCTTGATAGTAGTTTAAATTGATGTTATTTGAATAGCATCAAGCCCTACATCTATGCCAACACTGGCAATTAAAATTTGAAAGAAAAGTTTGGGAAGACAAAATGGGGAATGATGACCAAGAAGCTTTTCATCTTTTTGTCTACATAAATAAGAGTTATGCTTTGTTTTAAAGGATATTTTTGTTTAAAAATGTTACTTAGTTAAATGCCTTATCTTAGATTTATATTTATATTATGAGTCATATCAGGTACCATGTAGCTTATATATGAAGTAACGCAAATACCCCCATGAGAACTAGAGAACCTTTAGCCTTGATCCTTATATATTTGTACATATATGTAACATCTTTTTATATAATTTTTAAACTCTACAAATGTTCTGTATTCACATGGGTGGGAATAAATGTTGCAAATCCTTCTGGTTTTTGAAGCACATGCAACTAATTGTTACATAATGGTTTTATATTGGTTTTCATATTTTAAATTAGAGGCCATTATTCTGTCATTTGCTTCTTAAGGAGATGCCTACTTAGAAGAGTGACAGCAGCTGGTCTACATGTTTCAGTGCTAAACTGGTTCCTCAGGTATCCTGGCTCTGGAAATTGCTATGGGAGATTGGATGACTATTACAGATCCAGGTCTGTCTGCAGGTAACTGAATCTAAAGTAAAGGGAAACCAAAGCAGTTTAACTGAATCTAAAATAACTAGCAATCAAAGCAATAATTGTCAAGGTGAATGTTTTCAACAAAAATACTAAAAAGTTACGAAAATATTGAAGATGTGACTAGAGAGAGAGATAAATAGTTACAAGTGTCCAATTTTCAACTTCAATAAAGTTATCAGAGAGAGCTAAGAAGGTGCTGTAATCAGTGGGTTCAGTGCTTTAGATAGCTTACTGGATCCATAGTATTTTTGAGTAAAATTTTTATGCATTTGAAATATATTTAGTGGCTACTTCAGTGTTTCCCAGGTTTGTTCCTTTGTCATGTAAGCATTGAGTGAAATAGACAAGTGTGTTTTGTCTATAATTTTTTATAAGTCTAAAGTAGTAGAAGTTAAGGTGTATTGTCACTTAACATGCCTACTAAGAATACTACTTTAATTTTATGTTTTTGGGGAAAAAGAAAAAACATAGGTATCAGATAAAAATGGCTTCATCCCAATTTAAAAATTCTTAAATATGTGTGTGTATGTGTAAAGTTTAAAATCTTTGGTAAGTTAGTTTTACAAACATTTTTTAAAATTAGTTATGCAAATGCTATTTATTGATTCTTTTCAGAAAGTAAAAATATCTCTCAATATACCTCAGAAACAAAGATGTCTCCATCAAGTCTATATTCACAGCAAGTGCTATGTTCTTCAATACCTTTATCAAAAAATGTGCACAGCTTTTTCAGTGCCTTCTGCACAGAAGAGAATATTGAACAAAGTATTTCATATCTTGATCAGGTAACATGTTTTCATAAATAGCATAAATCATTATACAGTAGAACATATACAGAAGGTTATAAAAACATTTGTCGAGCACAAGTACATTGTTATGCAGTGGCCAGAGACTTAGATTAGATTTACTGAGAACCTTGGTAATGATCTAGTCTCATATAAGGTTAGCTATTGTATTTGGAGCAGTTTGGCCTCACCATCATCCCAGGCTTCTCCATTGAATTTAACCTCATTTTATTGGTGCAGAAAACTAAGTACCTTACTCCAGGTCACAGGGGTTATAGAGCAGAGTCTAGGGGAAAACAACAACAAAAAAAGTTCTTTTAATTTTTTTATTCTTTGGGAAATTTACTAGTTTCTTAATGAACTCAGTATAGTTCTCTGACTTAGAAAATATTTCTGCTTCTTTTTAGAAAATATTTTGTTTCTTTTGCTCTCTGGTAGTCAACTTTTAAAAAATGAACTTTAAATTTTTAATTGGCAAGTAAAAATTGTATATATTTCTTATATACAACACGATGTTTTAACGTGTACATTGTAGAGTGGCTCAGATGAGCTAATTAACATGCTTCATACTTTTTGTGGTAAGAACATTTAAAATCTACTCAGCATTTTCAAGAATACAATACATTGTTATTAATGATAGTCAACATGTTGTACAGTAGATTTCTTGAACTTATTCTTTATATCTAACTGAAATTTTGTGTCTTTTTGACCAATATCTCCCTAAGGATAACCAACTTTTAAAAAAACATTTTTCTCCTACCAGGAATTGACCACTTTTGGTTTTCCTTCATTATATGAAGAATCCAAAAGTAAAGACACAAAAAGAGAATTAAATATAGTTGCTGTTTTGAATTGTATGAATGAGCTACTTGTACTTCAGCGGAAGAACCTTCTAGCTCAGGAAAATGTGGAAACAAAGAATCTGAAACTGGGAAGTGATATGGACCATCTGCAGAACTGCTATGCAAAACTTAAGGTAGAAAACGTATATCGTTATGTATTTTAGTGTCATTATTATATAACTAATTATTATAAATGTCCATTGACTATCAAATGTTAAGGTTGTTTTTAAAAGCTTTAGTTTTTTTTGAAACTTTGAGCTTAATTTGCACAAATCAGTTATACTGCTTCCTATTATCTATATTGAAGGCATTGATTTTATGACTACTCTAATGACTTATTAATCTTTAGAAAGTTAACTTAGAAAATGTTTATATTCTGAGGAAAAGGATTACACCACCCCATGTAATCTTCCTTAACAAAGTAGATGTTTAATTTAAAATTCTTTGTAAGAGCTTTATTAGTTCATTCTAAGAAAAATATTCTTGATGTGTTTATATCAAACGTTCTAAAGCTCAATAATGAAAATAGACCAGATAATATCTAAGAGTCCTGGGGCTTAGAAAAAGATCATATAGAAAGATGCTTTATTAAATTTGTCTCTGAGAAAATGAAATTATTTTCACAAGACCATTGGCCTGCTGCCTTAAAATGTTAGAATATTTGTTACTGGTTCCTGGTTTGCTTTAACATTCTTTTATGTTTTCCTCCCCCCCCCCCCTTCCAGGAATTGAACCCGCAGGCTGCTTATCACTGAGCTACATCCCAGTAGCTTATACTGCTCCCTCCACTGCCCCACACTTTTTTAAAACTTGTTTTGAACTTTTTATTCTGAGACAGGGTCTTGCTAAGTTGCTTAGGGCCTTGTTAACTTGCCAAGACTTGCTCTGAACTTGTGATCCTCCTGCCTCACCCTCTCAAGCTACTGGGATTATGGGCATGTACCACCATACCTGGCTTATATTTAAAAATATTGGCAGAGAGGAATAAGGTGTTCAAAATATGGTGAGGGCTTATGTATGTTGTTGAGGATATAATATACTGGTATCCAAGTCTAATTTTTTCCTAAATATACTATTGTATATTGGATTTCTTTGTTCTTGGAAAAGACATTCCAGGAAGAGCATGTAACTTGCATGAAAAGCATGGTAGCTTGAGAGTGCATTTCACTTTCAAGTAACCACAAAGCCCTGCAGGGGCTGGAGTGTGTAAAATATGGATGAAGAATGGTGAGAGGTGAGGCTTTTAACCCCGGGTTCCAAATGGTTTGAAAGTCATGGTTCAGAAACTGGGAGGAGCTGAAGAGTTGTAAACAGAGGGAAGACATCGTGTAAATGTCATTGTAGTGGAAAGGTGGAGAAATGATTGGGAGAGTGCACATTTGTATTCAGGATGGAGGTGTACGGGGCTCAGAAAACTTCAAGATGGGGGTGCCTGTTAGAATGTCTTTGCAGAGGTTTTGGACTTGAACTAAAGTAACGCCAGGGATGGTATTCCCACCCTTCTTTTGGCTTAGCTGTAGCTCACTTGTCTCTTTCTCAAAGCCAAAAATTTATTCTCAAAGGAGAGGTGATGATGATATTATAGATGAGGATATCTTCCAAAGTGTTCAGCAGAAGTATTAAAAACAAGGCAGATGTTTATTTGAACTTGACACCTTGTTTATTAAAAACAAGGTGTCAAGTGCCTGAAATCCCAGCAACTCAGGAGGCTGAGGCGGGAGGATCACAAGTTCAAAGCCAGCCTTAGTAATTTAGCAAGGCCCCGAGCAACAACTTAATGAGACCTTGTCTCAAAATAAAAAATAAAAACGGCTGGATGTGGCTCAGTGATTAAGTACCCCTGGGTTCAATCGCTGATACCAAAAAGTAAAAAATAAAAAGTATTAGAAATAAAAAGTCTGAAGAAATTTTAAATGGATTCAGTGGCATCATCATGGAATAAGTGAAAAGCCTTTCAAGAGAACCATTTTGAAGCTCCTTTTGTATATACACACAAAATTTGGAACTTAAATGAAATAGAATTTGATATGTAAATTTAGGTAAATGCTGCATAGTAATTGCTCTAAATAAACATTTTGTGTGCCACTACAATTTAGCTTACAAAACTAGTCTGTATAACTTTTTGTTATTGACTTAAGAATTCAGTTGTTTTGAATTTATATAATTTTGGTCAAAATGGCATACAAATATTTTAGGAACAACTGGAAACCTCCAGGAGGGAAATGATTGGGCTTCAGGAGAGAGACAGACAATTGCAATGCAAAAACAGGAATTTGCATCAGCTCCTGAAAAATGAAAAAGATGAGGTAAGTTATCAAGTTATTGCATATGATGTTTTATTTTTTTATTTTTTGTAATTTGAGGGAAACCATAAGAGCCATGTAACTTTTAAAAAAACCTATTATGTCAAATTGTTGTGGTGGACCTTTGTGTATAAAATCATATTTAACTAAGAGGTTTGGAACCCTCCCTACTATACACTCTGCCTTCCACTCCTAGGGGATGGATTTGGCTTAGGTTCATAGCAGATAACAACAGTGTCCTCTACCATCCTTCCTGCACACAGTTTCACTCACTTTTTCACAGGCACAAGGTGCTTTAAATGCAGGGTTTTTGTGCTCTGCTATATCTGCACTTGATATCTGACTTGCCCCTTTTTGTACTATCTGAAATATTGATGTTATTGGTCCAGTTAAGCAATTACTTGGCTCAGTGGGCACAGGAGCAATTCTTGTTAAAAAGCTTATTTCTGAGGTGAAAGATATAATAATTCTAATTTTTGCTTTAGGTTTACTTAGTAGAATTCTAATTTCTAATCCAGTGGGTTCTTGGAATTATGACATCTTCTGACAAATTTCTAATTTCTTCAGTGGTTAGTTGGACTTAATTAATGGATTTGTTTTGTAATGTATCTGTACTTGGTACCTGTACTATTATGTTTTTATTGCTCTGTTTTTATTGTTATTTATTTTTATTCCATGTAATAGCTATAAAAATACACTTTCAGTGTTTTATGAAAGACTCTTAAGGGAGTGTAAGTCTTTGAAACCCTTTGATTTGATTCATTTTTAGTAGTATATTTAATATTTAGTAGTATATTTAATAAACTTTTCACAGAAAAGTTTGACCAGATCTGTTGATTTAAATGGTTTGAAAACAGTTCATCTTTGGTAAGGAATAAGTTAATCATATTATTCTCTAGCAAGGATTGAGAATGTCTTTGTAGAATAAAGCACTTATGTCAAGTACTGCCTGAGAAGCTTTGGTAAATACCTATTTTGACACATAACAGATGATCAGCAAATGTTGATCAGAGAGAAGTGGGCGTAGTTACCTGCTACATGTCCACTAGCTAATGTACCTCATGATCACTTGGTGTACTCGGCCTATCCGGACCTAATGTACGAAGTAAAGTGATTGCAAGTCAATAGGAGAAGGAGGTCACTTTTTAAGATGACTATCTGGGTCCTACTTGTTTCAGACAAAGCCCTTAATATTTTAATACTTCCATAAGATTTTCTGGTTTCTAAGTTACTAAGAATATTTGTATAGTAAAAAGTTGTAGAAGATAATTTAGGAAGTTAATATTCTGAAAATTTTAAAATTAAGAAATATAAACTTCGTGACTCATTTAAGTGATTTGTGATCATTAAAAAGAAGGGAGAATCATCTCAATTTAAGTACTATGGGAAGATGACTGCTAATACTTTTCTCTTTTGAATTTGTGAATTTTAACTGGATTTATCATTTCTCATTTGATGGAAATGCTTTTTTCAGGTACAAAAATTACAAAATATCATTGCAAGCCGAGCTACTCAGTATAATCATGATATGAAGAGAAAAGAACGTGAATATAATAAGCTAAAGGAACGTCTGCATCAACTTGTTATGAACAAGAAGGATAAAAAAATAAGTAAGCAGCTGGCTAAGATCTGGCCAAGGGAATTAAAATTATAAAAGGATTGAGGACAACAGCTCAAGATGTGTTATTTTCATGCTTTATACAGTAGATTTTAGATTGATTTTAGTTTTAGTATGTCTGTATAAACTGGAAATTTAGAGAACTGGTTAGTGGAAAAAAGTCATTTTGGTTTGATTTATTAATTGTACATATCTGTTTAACATAACAGGTGTAGTATTGGGCCATAGAGAGAAACTGAGCCCAAAGATACTCTTAATTTTTTCCATAGCAAAGAACTGAAAATATTAAGAACCAGGGTGTATTTCTGAATGTCAAAAGAATGATTTTAGAGTTCAGAAAATTGTTCATTAGACCAAATCACTTATATCAGTTTGAATTCCTTTAAGTTTGGTTCTATGTTTTGAAGTGATTAGTCATAAAGAAATACTGTAAAAGTTAGTGTCTAAGGTCTCCTTTTTAAAAGTATTCTTCTGAAAACTACAACTATTCATGCAAAAGTATATGCCTAATTGCAAGTAAATAGTATAGATAAAAAGTCAATCTATATATACACGAAAGTAGAGCTGTACAATACAGTTTTACTGGCTTATCAAAGATTTAATTTTGGAAAACAGGCCCTTATATTTAGGGGTCTAGTTGTTTTCAGTTTCAAACCCAGTTGGAAATGACGTAATGTTCATAGTGATTTTATTAACTATAAAATTGCAGTAATTTATTCTCATCTTATTTCATTCTTATAGCAAATGTGTCCTCTATCTAGGGCAGAAGAGGTGTTGCTATTGTCAGGATTCTTGATTTCTTTGAAGATGACAGTGATGATGATAATGATGACTATAATTGGGCATGACAGACTTTTTCTATAGAAATCCAAATAATAAATATTTTTTGGCTTTGTTAGGGTCTACAGGTGTTTTTTTGTGCCTACTACTCCTCTGCCATTGTAAAGAAAAAATATCCATAGAAGACATAAACAAATGGATGTGGCTGTGTTTCAGGGAAGCTTTATTTATAAAATTAGGTGGCTGGCCTTCAGGCCATAGTTTGCCAAATGTTGATAATGAAATTAGTAATGAAAAAATCAAAACTATTAAATGCTTAACTGTGTGCCAGACTCTATGTTCAGCTCTACCTTTAGCATTATTTCTTATGATCTTAAAAACTCTTTGGTAAATAATTTCATTATTCCTATTGTGTCAGTGAAGAAAGAGGCTTAGTAGTTAAGATCTCAGTGCTCACCAGCAGAGGAACTAAAAATTTGAAATTAGGCTGTTGAGCCCAAATCTGAACCCATATATCAAGTTGACTCATATCCCTAGAGTGTATAGCATGCATTAAAGTTTTGAATAACATATGATAAGAATTGGTTTTGTTTTGTGTGTTCATGTTTGTAGCCATGGACGTTTTAAATTATGTGGGGAGAGCTGATGGAAAAAGAGGCTCCTGGAGGACTGGTAAAACAGAAGCCAGGTAAAGGCCAGTTTAAATCGATAGACTTACACTTTGTTTTCTCCAATGCATTTTCATAACAATGTTTTCTTTCTCAGGAATGAAGATGAAATGTACAAAATTCTCTTGAATGATTATGAATATCGTCAGAAACAAATCCTAATGGAAAATGCTGAACTTAAGAAGGTTCTTCAGCAAATGAAAAAGGAAATGATTTCTCTTCTTTCTCCCCAAAAGAAGAAACCTAGAGAAAGAGCAGATGATAGTACAGGAACTGTAAGTGGCCTTTTTCTCTCTAATATGCTCTTTAGATTGCAAAGTAGGTGTTTTAGTCAGTTTTTTCACTGCTATGACTAAAGATCTGACCAGAACAATGTTAGGGAAGAAATTTGAGGGCTCCCGGTTTCAGAGTTCTTAGTCCATAGAAGGCCACCTCCATTCCTCATGGCTCAAGATAAAGCAGAACATAATGGTGGTAGAGAGTGGCAGAGGGAAGCAGCTCACATGGTTATCGGAAGCAGAGAGTGAGTCTCCACTTGCCAGATACAAATATATACCCCAAGCCATGCCCCAATTCCCACCTTCTCCAGCCACACCCTACCACTTCAGTTACCACTCAGTTAATCCCTGAGATTAATTCACTGATTGGGTTAAAACTGTGACAACCTAATCATTTCTCTGAACCTTCTTGCATTGTCTCACACGTGAGCTTTTGGGGGATGCCTCACATCCAAACCATAACAGTAGGGCAGTTTAAACATTGGGTAGGTATGCTTAGTGAATACACTATTGGTAATTTGAACAGGACAGTCACTGCTGTGCTACCTCCAGTCACTGTGACAACCAGTGTCCCTGCATGTTTCTAGACATGCCCTGGGAAATAGTGGAGATAATCTTTTGGTGACTTAGTCCACACTAAGCACTATGATATGTATTATATATGTGAGAGTATTAATATTAAGCTTTGATTATTTAGGTACTATAATTATCCCCATTTTAGAGGTGAAGAAACTGAGCCACAGTAGTAGCCCAGTATAATACATGACAAAACTAGGATTTGAATCAAAGTCTATTTCTAGAGCTCGTGCTGTAACCGTTGTGCAAATATCTTCTTTTTTTAATATTTATTTTTTAGTTATAGGTGGTCATAGTATCTTTATTTTATATTTATGTGGTGCTGAGGATGGACCCAGTGCCTCACGCATGCTAGGCGAGTGCTCTACCTCTGAGCCACAGCCACAGCCCCCCAAATATCTTTTCAACTATTTCTAAGTGTCATGTGATGTACTTTTGTTAACTTTGGGAACCAAATAATCATTTCATCTACGTATTTATTGCTTGTTCATTATGTTGTAGTTTCTGGAAAGAAAAAGCAAAAAGATACTGACTCTTCCCCTCAAGAAGCTCTTTTTGGTGGGGCTGGGATTGTGGCTCAGCGGTAGAGCGCTCGTCTAGCATGTGCAAGGGCCTGGGTTTGATCCTCAGTACCACATAAAAATAAAATACAGATATTGTGTCCAACTATAACTAAAAAATAATATATATATATATATATATATTAGAAAGCTCTTTTTGGGAGAGACATGTGGAGAACCATTGTACATGTTAAGTAATCTGATAGTAATCTTAATTCACATTAGTGATTAAAATCTAAAAATAACACTGTTGATGAGAAATGCTTAGCAAGTCACCAGAACTTGTATTTTAAACCCATATTTGAGACTTATTTATTTGGGGGTTTAACAAATAAGTCTAATAAGCTCATCCTGCCTCCTATTTTTCTTTAAAATTTGTTTTTAAATGTTACTTGAATGCATAGTCCCCAACCCCATTTATCCATAGGAATACATTCCAAGACCCCCAGTGAATGCCTGAAACCACAGATCATACTGAACCCTGTATATCCTGTTTTCCTATTAAACTTTCTCATGTTTTTTCCTATACATATACTATATCAGTCAGCTTTTCATCACTGTGATCTGAATCCCCAACAAGAACAACTTAAGAGGAGGGAGAATTTATTTTGGCTCACAGTACCACAGGCTTAGTCAATGATCAGCTGAGTTCATTGCTTTGGGCCCACGATGAGGCAGCACATCATGACATAAGGACATGATAGACACAAGCTGCTTCATTCATGGAAGCCAGGAAGCTGAGAGAGAGAGAAAGGAGGAAGGAACTGTGGGAAAGATGCATCCTTTCAGGGAATGTACCCAGTGACCCACCTCCTCCAGCTATGTCCCACTGGCCTACAGTTATCATCCAGTTAGTCCATTGAAACYAGGAAGGTTACAGCTCTGCTAATCTAATCATTTTACCTATCAATATTCCTGCATAACACAGGAGCTTTTGGGGGACACCTCATATCCAAACCATAACATATACCTCTGAGAAGGTTTAATGTATAAATTAGGCACAATAAGATATTAATAATTAGTAGCTAATAATAAAATAGTTAATATTTTATAAAGTTATATGTGATTTCTCCCTTCCCCTGAAAATACCTTACTGCTCCAAATGTATTTTAGGATCTTAGTTGACTAAGATAACTGAACACAACTGAAACTGAGAATACAAACTGTATTCTTTTATACTCTCAGTTTTTGACCCATCCTTAACCTCTTTTAGCCCAGTGCTGTTGTATCTGCTATGGGAACAGTCTAATCAGCTGTTAACCTTTTCTCACAAAGCCTTCATTTCTAGTCAGTTGTTAACTTTCACTGATACCTCTTCAGACTTAGCATAGTTTCCATTACTTAGTCTTTCTCAGTTTTTGACCCATCCTTTAATAATCTTTCATTATCACCTTTATTCAGAAAAAGTGAGTAATAAATCAAGGAGATCTTTCTTTTCTCAGATGCCTTTCCTCCCATGAGTTAGCCAGTGTGTAATTCTTCATAATTCCAATGTATTAAGTTTGGGGAAATACCTGTTAAGTATATTTGCTGTTTTTAGAAGATCCATTTTTCTAGCTTCCTTTAATCTTAAAGTTTAAGTAATCAACCATTCCCTTCTTTAAAGGAAAGATTTTGGCGCATTTTAGCCTAAATAACATCCATATTTCGTTTATTATTTAGCTGGCTTGCTAAATGAAATACCTATTACGTTGGCTATTTGATACCTAAAATTCAAGTTAGGTAAATTTTTAATTTTCATCTTGTTATACTGTTTGGGAAACACCCAGTAAGAAATCTTACTAGTTTTTTTAAACAACTAATTTGTAGTATAGGTCTGAAATCTGAAACTTTTTGAGTACCAACATGATACTACAAGTAGGAAATGCCACAGATAACCTCGTGTGGTAGGTTGCAGTCAAAACAAAAGCTTACTAAAATATATATAAATTACTTTCAGCCTGTGTGTATAAGGTATATATGAAATATAAATGAATTTTGGGTTTAGATTTGAGTCCCATCCCTGAGATTATGTATACGTATATATTGCAAATATTGCAAAATCCAAAAACATCTGAAACACTTCTAGTCCTAAGCATTATAGAAAAGGGATATTCAATCTGTATTCTGATAGACTTGTATATAATAGACAGAAGAAAAGATGTGACTCCTTGGAAGTTACTGACAAGTAACTCCTGAAGATAAATTATCAACAATCAGAATCACAAGAGCCACATCCTGGGCCTTTCCTGTACATGTTCTGCCTTGGGGACCTTGACCTCTTTTAGCCCAGTGCTGTTGTATCTGCTGTGGGAACAGTCTAATCAACTCTTTCTTTCCATCTTGTATCTTATTTTTTTCTTTTTATTGTTCAAATTAATAAAGTATATCTGCCTTCCTGGATGATAATAACAAATTAGAACTATTTTATGTAGATAGCAGGTCATTATGACATTTGCCTTTTAGTATTATTTTCCCATGTCCTTTGTCCTACTGTAATTCTTTATATAATAATTTATCACTAAAATTTGCTACATTCTTCTATAATTTCATGTCTTGTCATAATTAAAAGATTTCTAGTTGTATAAAAATTGTATGAGGAAAGTAGGATTAATAGTTGCTTTTACTTTAGAGGTTATTTCAAAGGTTTATTAGTTTCTGATATATATATATATATATATATATATATATATATATGTTATAAGCAGCTTAAGATTAGTAACAAGTTGATTGAACTTGACTGTGTGACACTTAATGTAACACTTCTCTATATGAGTTTAGACAGGTAGTGAGCATCTCTTCCTCAAACAGCTCCATGACTTTTGTCACTACTTAGATTCAAATTCAGATTTAAGGAGAACTAAGTTGGGGAGTTATTATCTTCAACATTGTTTTTTCTCAAAATAAAAGTACTGGGTCATGTATGCCTAAAATACAACGCAGAAATTATTTAGGTAGGTCTCTTTCTTGTAATCAATCTGATCATTACTGCCTGGTTGTAAAACCATTTTAAAATACTGGTCTTTTTCTTTTCACTGTCATCATTTGTAGGTTATCTCTGATGTTGAAGAAGATGCTGGAGAACTAACCAGAGAGAGTATGTGGGACCTATCTTGTGAAACTGTGAGAGAGCAGCTTACAAACAGCATCAGAAAACAGTGGAGAATTTTGAAAAGTCATGTAGAAAAACTTGATAATCAAGGTAACTACTTCTTTCCTGCATGCAAAATGATTTTGTGATAAGCCATTTATTTCCAGTCACTTGGAAAGCCACAGTATGGGCTCTGCCATGAAGCTGGTAGCTCAATTTGGTGGTTTTAAAGCAAGATTTTGCCTACTTTTTGCCATGAAATTTTAACTTCAGTAAGAAAAATATACTTTGTTCTCAAAGTAAATCTTTGAAAAGAGGATTTCATGTATCCATCTGCTCTGAATGCAGTATACAGTTGAGCAAACTATTTTTTTTTCTATATCTTGAAAATGAAGACATTCATTAATACAGAAAAAGATGAATCTTTTGCTCACTCCAAGATATTTGCATGTCACTAGGTTCCAAGTAATTAAAAATTATTTTCAAAATAATAGATGTTCAATGCAAAATATCAATTAAGAAGAATATAAAGTAGCATATCCTGGTTCAGTTCAACAGTATTATTTTAGACATTATTCCCTGACTTACACTTAAATCTATGTTGATGAATATATCCCTAATATTTTATATTTATTAAATAAAGTCTACATGGTTTAAAAGAAGTTCATGAAAGAAAATTTATTTTAAATTACCAAAAATTTATTCAACATCGTTGTTTTAAGTAGTAAAGAATAGTGAGCAAAATTATTAGTCTCAGTATTAATGTACATGTTATTCATGTTAGTCCTCATTGTCTTTTAGTACATAGTAAGTATGTCTGGACTTCCTATTTGTTGAATGTAGTATGAGAGAACAAGATTTGAAGACTGCATTGATCTCTAAAACACTATCAACAAGAACATAGTTATGAATTTGTTATTTTTGTTAACATTCTGTTAATGTAGCTAATTTGTCTATTTCTAATCAGGACATAGTCTTGCATATATATGGATTACAAATTAAAGGTTGACAACAGAGCTTTGCAAAAATATCATTTATCCATAAAGTCATACAAATTTAGAGTTGTTATGAACTTCTAGTTGCTTTGCTTTTTAAAAACTTTATAATGTTAAAATAACAAATTTAACTTTATTTTGTTTATTAAAAGGAAAGCACTAGCCGGGCGCAGTGGCTCACGCCTGTAATCCTAGCGGCTTGGGAGGCTGAGACAGGAGGATCATGAGTTCAAAGCCAGCATAAGGAATGTCAAGGCACTAAAGCAACTCAGTGAGACCCTGTCTCTAAATAAAATAAGAGCTGGGGATGTGGCTCAGTGGTTGAGTGCCCCTGAGTTCATTCCTGGTACAAAAAAAAAAAAAAAAAAAAAAAAACAACCCTATCTTTTTGAAAAAAACTGTGAGATTCTACAAAAAGTTCTGAGACCCTTGATTTTTAAATACATGCTCAAAACATCCCAAAACTAATGGTGGTATTAATCTTTGTCACCTTAACTGGGTTTCTGTTAGTTTCAAAGGTACATTTAGAAGGTTTTAATGATGAAGATGTGATATCACGACAAGACCATGAACAAGAAACTGAGAAACTGGAGTTAGAAATTCAGCAATGTAAAGAAATGATTAAAACACAGCAGCAACTTTTACAGGTAAATGTGAATTACCTTTCAAAGCTGTTCTCTCCTATAAAAGGCCAGAATTTTACAGAATCTTACTAGATTTTATTCCTGTATTTCTTAAGATCTTTATATTTATCACTTTTCCCAGTCTAAACCAAGTTGTCTGCTAACAGGTGATGTCCTGTACCCTTTCTTATATAGTTGAGATAGTAGTATTTGGGAAAGGAGAATTGTCATGTGACTTTCTGATTCTTCATAAATTTCTGCCCTTTTGCTAAAGTTTAACCTGTCTTCCCTTGCTTTCATTTCGACTCGGAGTGTTGCAGGGATCCCCTGGAACTTACTATGTTTTAAAATTAATAGCAGCAGCTCGCTACTGCATGTGACGATGATACCACTTCACTATTACGAGACTGTTATTTGTTGGAAGAAAAGGAACGCCTCAAAGAAGAATGGTCCCTTTTTAAAGAGCAAAAAAAGAATTTTGAGAAAGAAAGACGAAACTTTACAGAAGCTGCTATTCGCTTAGGATTGGAGGTATTTTAAATAGTTGTGCTTTTGAAAATTCGGGAGTTTGGGACATAGCCTTCAGTAGAGTGCTTTTAGTTTGCTTTTCTTTCTTTCTTATCCAGTTTTTTCTCTAAAGGATTTTATTGGTCATCTCATAAGCTGAAGGGAGGCTAAGCATATGAATATTATAGAGTGATATCTTTTTTCCCTTACCAGATTGGGAATTGCAGTTTTTAAAATATAAGCTATAAGCATTTATTTATTCCTTTCAGATTGGCTTTTTTCTGTGAAGTGTTTTAGTTTCATACAACAGTGTCTTAGGCACCTTAGCCTCTATCAGTAGGTATGCCAGAAGACAGTCAAGCAAGAACATGTGCTTTGTTTGGAGGGAAAAAATTAGTTAAAAACAAAATTCTCCTTCTATCTCCAGTCTCTCATTCAGGGATGTATGCATTAATAATTAATAGTTTAGATTGTTTATTCATGTATAATTCTACAGCTTGCTTTTTAAAGCAATGTATTACCTATATGTTTCCATTCAAAAATTATAGAAGTAATGTCTGAACAGTTTTTAAAAAAAAAAAATATGACTACAAAGTGAGAAAAAAAATCCTCTTCCTTTATTCCTAGTTTCACTCCTTAGTGGTAACCACTGTTAAATGTTTGTGTTGGTAAATTCTTCTGAAAGTATTCTTTTAACTTAAATATATAGTATTTAAATAATTTTTTCTCGATGTTAGTCTATCAATTCTCTGTTGTGTAATATAAAGAATATAGTGATCTTATGGTATTTTCCATCTATACTCTTCCTAATTCACATCTGACTTCTTAATATTATGACTTTTGCTGTTTTGGTTTCCTTTTTTACTGTAAATAAATAATATATTTGATGTTTCCATATCACATTTGTTCATCTTCAGACAGTATCAAATCCCTGCAAAGAAAGATGAAGAAATTCTGATAGTTATCCTCTTCCACCCCTCTTTCCCCCTTTACTTGGCTATTTTTGTTTATGGTATTATTTTTCATTGTCAGGTGTTAACACATTTGTGTTCCATCCTGTAATATAATCAGGGTAGAAATAAGTACTTTGTCAAAAGTTGAGATTTGAAAATTTAAAACCAGGCAACAACACTGATAGCATCATGATTATATAAATATTGTTCATTCCATAAACTAATATGTTTAGACACATAGAAAATTTTCTGTATTATTAACACTTCGATACCCAGAAGAGCTGTATTACTAGTTAGTGAATTCTTTGAATTTCTCTGTAGCTTCCTTTCTGACTTTCTATATTTTCTAAATAAAGACTTAGCTGCTGTATTTCTTATATGTATCTCATACTTTTCTCTTAGGGGTTTCTTTTGAATTTCCAATGTTACCATCTGAAGTAACTTTTCATAAATAGTACATAAGAGATAAACATTTTGAATCCTGGAGTACCCAAAAATACATTCCACATTTGTTCTGTCACCTTTTTTTCTCCTCATAGTGTTGGAAGAATTATTCCATTTCTTCTCATGTTTGATTTTGTTAAAGAAAGGCCAGATTATATTATAACCTATATTACTTTGTAGATAACGTTAGTTTTTATCCCCTTCTCTGGAAGTGTTTGGACTTTTCTGTTCCTACTATTCTGAAAATTTACCAGGATATGTCTAAATAGTTCTTTTTATCTGGAAGATTGTGTCTACGGAAATTTTATCTATTTTTAAATTTTTCTCTTTTTTGACTTTGCTGTATTCTAGACATCTGTATGTTCAGACAATGTTTGGCATTCTGAGTATTTCTTTAGATATTCTTTTACCTTTATCTTATGAATCACCAAACTGGTGTTCAGAGTTAGTTTTATTATTCACTTTAGCCACATAGTTTGTTTTCAGAATTTATCTTTTAAATGTTCTAATTTTTGCTTTTTAAAAAAATCTTAATTTTGCTTTTCTTTATAAAGCTTTGTTTTACAGTCATTGATTCATCTGATAATATATGTTAAAATTTTTTAAAGGTTTTTTCCATTTATTGAATTACCTGTTACCCATGGTCATCATATATATATATATATATATATATATATATATATACACACATATACATATCTTGGCCTTTTTTTCATGTCATTAGTTTTCTTCCAATGTGTGATGAAGATACATGATTCTGTATTAATATTTATGAATAAAGGACTCTATATTTTAAGAGGTGATATGACATGGATTTCCCCCACTATGAAAGTCTATTTTATCAGTAGCTGTCTCCTGGGGTGGGGGGGGAGCAAGAGCAGTTTGTGCCAGCATGTCCCGTGGGAGCACCTTCATTCTGTGCCCCTGTCTCTGACACTGCTCTTGCTACTTTGCCTGGTGTCTTTCTTTGCATAAAAATATTAGCTGCTGGTGGTCACTGGGGACAGTGGTGGCATTGGGACATGAGAGGGAAGGATGAGAGACTGCTGTTCAGAAAGGTGAGGTGTGACATAACCTGTATATGCCCTCTTGTGGCTTAGTGGTGGTGGCTGGTAAAGGGCTAGAGAATGAAAGAAATGATTGATGAAGCCAGAAGTCCGTTTTTCCCCCCACTTATTAATTTATAAAGTACTTTTTCTGTTTATGATTTTATGTTTATAATGAGTTCTGTATGTTTTTGCATTGTTCATTTGAATTCAAAATTACTATGAAAATAGGGATTGTTGGTTTATTTGGTGAAATGGGTAGAATTTTTAAACATGATATTCTTAGTTTCCTAGGTTAATTTATTTGATATATAAGGAATATGTATAAATAAGCCAGAGAGCAAACACCAATAGAGAAGTCGTGAAATGGCAACCATGTGTATGTTGAAGTATTAACCGTTATTTCTTTGGTTTGTCGTCATGGTAGAGAAAGGCTTTTGAAGAAGAAAGAGCCAGTTGGTTAAAACAGCAGTTTTTAAATATGACTACATTTGACTACCAGAACTCAGAAAATGTGAAACTTTTCAGTGCCTTCTCAGGAAGTGAGTACTTCATAAACTCTTTAATCTGAATATGTATCCAAATGAAATGTACAGATTATTAATATAAACCTTTGTAGATCAGGAGGAAAAGTTCTTTTAATTTGACCTAAAAATCAACTTTAAGATTTTATTTAGTGAGTCAAAATGAGAATGAGAGGAAGACTATGCCTATCTTAAGTAACTTTCATTGTGAATGAAATAATGTCAGGTTTTGAAAAATCACAGTCTAGAGGTAACATTTTTATAACTAGATCTTTCTGTTTGCAGGATATGGCAAGTTAATTTAATTTGTTCTCTCATATCTCTTTCAAATGGATCATCCTAGTAGCTGTCTTCACTGTTTTTAATACCTCACCACATGTACTGCATCCTCCCCGCCTTTTTTTTTTTAACAGGTTCTGATCGGGACAATCTTATAGTGCACTCAAGGACACAGCAGAAGAAGCCTCACAGTGTGTCTAATGGGTCTCCAGCTTGCATTTCCAAACTGACTAAATCTCTTCCTGCTTCACCTTCTACTTCAGACTTTTGTCCAACACGTTCCTGTGTATCTGAACATAGGTATTTGTTTGTGGGTGATCTTTTTACGTGTTTCCAAAAACTGCAATGCTGAGGAGAAGTTGACATACCTGTAGTATTAGCAATAGTAGAAGTTTGGGATAGAAATTTTGTAGATGTGTTTATTCAATCTACAAGTACTTACTAGGTATCCAGTATATTGGCATTGTGCCAGGAGTACAGCAGCAAGCAAGGTACATCTGGTTCCTATTCTTTGAGCTCAAAATTATATAATGTGTGTCTTTTTACTTCACATGTAAAATACAATTTTATTTGCAATAGTTAATATTTTAAATAATATAACAATATTGTTTTCACAGTTTTTATGTAGTACATAGTTTGTAGATCACATATTGTTCTAAGGGCATTGGATAAGCATTACAGAATTTTATTCAAGATTTGGGTGGGAATCCAAGTTTTTAAAAGTGTACAGTTTTGTTATGTGGAAAACAGTATAAGAGTCAGTAATTAAGCCAGGGGATCCAGTTAGGAGTACATTATTGGAGTTGAGATGAGAGATTATGGTCATTGGAACTCAGGTCATATGTGAAGATAAAAATGTAGAGATTTGAGGTGTATTTGAAGATAAGGCCAGTAGATTGATAGACACGTTGAATATGGGAAATGAAAGTTTAATTTATAATCTAACAATAATATAAACCTAGTGTTTTCTTACATGGAATGTTACTGTAACTCCCAAATTTATCAATCAGAATTATCTACATATAGATATAAATTCTCATCATATACAAAGAAGTCATTTTATATCTAAGTTATCTCAGTCATTTTTAAGTTTGTAAATTTTTACTTTTTTACATAATTATTTTTATTATGAAATATTTGACAGGTCAGTATTCCTTGAAGGCATTGTTTTGTGGTTTAATTAAAAAGTCTAACATTCAGTACCTACATGACAGGATGTGAGTTAAGTTTTAATATAAGTTAAGTTTGGTTCATTGTAAACATTCAGTGGCACCAAAAATATATGTAAATAAAAATGTATTATTAAAAAGATTTTCTGTTTTTGTATTTTGAGGGCTACCCTAAACAACTTTAGTGGCAAAGAAACAAAATTTTGGTGCTTAAATGAACTCTGTTTAACTATTCTAACCTCTGAGAATGAGATGAACAGAATAGAATTACATAAAGCTGTGCATCTTGACATAATTCTTGAGTTTTATATTATTTTATAAATTTATATGTTTTGTTCCTGAAGAAACTTGGGTTTTATTTTATAATAAGATTACATTAAAATAATTAGGTGTATTTGTAACTAATTTCTATAACAGCTCCTTCCTTACTTCTTTTACTATAGAGTAGAACTTTATACAAAGGCTGTGCTTTGAATCTGCAGGGTGACACATGTGCTGTATTACTTACAGAACTAAGTTGATCATTGAATTTACCTGAGACAGCTCTGAGGTTCAGGGATTTTGAGGACTGAATTAAGTATAAGCAATTTTTTTAAGTGTAGATAAAGTGTAAATAAAATTTTTAGGTAATTGGTTTCAGTTTTTAGGACTAACAACATTGTCATGTTGTAAGGTCAGGTTAGTAAATAAAGGTCACGGGAAATGTACATTTGAAAAGTTTTTCTGAAAAAATTATATAAGGTATTCAGGCAATAAAAATATATTATTCATTGACTCAGCTTTGTGGATTTTAAAGTAATCGTTTCATATTTCTTTGTTTTGAGGCTGGTTGAACTTAAACCATCTGGCTTTGGAGTCTGATCTCTTAATTACTTTTATAGGCCCTCATTAAATATCTGAATGGACGGGTGGATGGACTGATGAAAGCAAGCATGAACAAGCACACAAGCAAAGAAAAAAACAATAGGATTAGAAAATAGTAGCAGAAAGATGGAGACATGGAGCATTAGCTTTCAAAATCCACATGTTCTGTATCTACTTTAGGCTTCACTTGGGCAGCATGCTTCAGAGTAGATTAGAGGGACAGATAAAATCGATAGTAAGGAGATGGATAGGTAAAAATGATAACCCATTTTGAAGCACTTCTCTTTAATGTTCTTGATCAGTATGTCCTCAAAATGTACTTAGCACAGGATGTGGGAGCAGCCAGAATTTAGACATTGAGGGATATCTAAAGCATATATAATATAAAAGAGGGAAGGGATAATTATAAAGATTTACCTTTCTTTTTCCAACAGTTCAATCAATGTACTGAATATAACTCCTGAAGAAACTACACCAAATCAGGTTGGAAGAGAATGTACAAATCAGAAATGGAGCATAGCATCAAGACCTGGGTCACAGGAAGGTTGCTACAGTGGATGCTCCTTGACCTATACAAATTCTCATGTGGAAAAAGATGACTTACCCTAGATGTGTGGATGGGATTTTTTTTTTTTTCATTAACATGTTCATCAGATTTCACATCTAAGTTGAAACAGGGTATGCCATAAAGTCAGTCATCTCTAATAATTCAAGATGGTCTGAGTTGTTTGTTTGGACTTCCCTGTCTTCCCCCAAAGAGCTGAAATGCTAAATGTCTTTAAAAGGATATAAAAGCTTTGGATATGTATTTTTAGTAACAGAAACATCTGGTTCTGTGAATAAAGGAATGTATAGATGTTTGGATGGAAACAAAGCACTAGAATGAGTTTCCTCTTTATAGGTATTAAAAATAGCACTTTTAGGAAACTGATTATTGTAAATGTTTAATTTTTGTCCCAAATATAGTTGGCATTGGAAGTTTAACCTTTACTTGAATGTATACTGTAGATTTTTAACAAAGCAAGTTCTATATTTATTATGTTTAGTGTGATTTTGAAATTACCTCTTTCRTATGTTTTAAATAAAATGAAATTTATGTATGTTTTGTACATAGATATACATGATTATGTTAAGAGGCTTTAAGACTTAAAAACTTCTACACAACCATGAGTATAGTAAAATTTTCAGTTGTATTCTGTTTACAGGTGTGTTAGGACCATTGCCACATTGCATTTAAGGTTGTTTTTTTTTTTTTTTAATCCATATGGGCAATAAATATTCGAAAATCTGTTCCATGAAGCTGAGTTCTTTAGATAATCAACATTACTAACATTACATTTTTGAGATTTTTTACAGCATTAGATTTTTATTTTATATACATAGGATATTATAATTTTTAAAAGACTTGATTATAGAGTAATGGGGCAAGTCAACGAAAGTACCTTTGAATAACAATTTAAGAGCATTGATTTAAGATATTTGGATGATAAAGATATTTAAGATGGATGGTGATATTTTCCTTATTAGATGGGTACCAGTAAGGTAATAATCTATATCAGCTAGGACTTTATATCATTGACAATAATTTTTTAATAATTTTTCAATGAAATATTTAYCACTAATGATAAGTAAATATGGCAGTACAAAAGTATTGAATTTTATAATCCAGAAATGATACTCTGGACAGTCTTGTGTCATTTCATTTTCAGAACAATCTTAGGCTCTTTTGTCTCTGTAATGTTTCTGATAGCATGTTCTTCATGAATAGTATATTATTATTGATAGTAATAATAATACTTGTTGGCCCAAGTTCTTCCCCTGGATTTCCATCAAAAAGCTTTTAAGTGCCTAACCCTCCCTGCTTTTTGCTGTATATAAAAGCCTACACAGGTCCAGTCTTTGCTAGGTGTGGTAGTTAAGTCCCATCTACCTTCCTGTTTTCTAGCAATTTAACCACTTACATATGCTCACCCTGTTTGTAACTGTTCCATTTAAATTTCCAAGACTACCCCCAAAAAAAGGTTTTCATGTTATCCATTCACTATATGTGACTCTTTAGCGTTGTGTAGCAGTGGCCATTTTTTTTCAGGGTTGATAGTATCTTGAGACGTTAATGAATATACTAACACTAACCCTATTTATAGTTCCAAGGAGCTGGCTCTTGAATATTAGTCACTCACTATCTTCAGCTTGATGCATGGACACTTCTTTAGTCTTAATATTACAAATTTTACAGAATGTCAAGAGAGATTCTGAGAAGGGACCTAGCTAAGATATAATCATTCTTTTGCTATTTTGCAATAATGTGGTCGAAAAAAAGGCAATCAGAAATTTTAGAAATAAATTTTCCCCAGGGGTTTTCATGTTGTATTTTGCCAGAGGTAAATAATCTGATTTTTATATTAATCCTCTTTAGAGAATACTGTATTGCATGAGGATGGATTTCTAGAAAGCAGCATCTTTTTTTGTTGTGTTTTCATTTTAAAATGTGTTGAATTCTCTTATTGGAAAGAAAATTTCCTTGAGACTTTTTTGAAAATGTAAGGTGTGAAAGAAACAGTAAAATGAAAACCAGATTTATTGTGGTTTTGGTATTTGTATAGATCTGCTAGAAGTTATATTTTTTACCTATCACTTTTGTTTTGCTATACTTTGTAATTCTAGATTTTTGTTTTGTTTTGGGTTTTTGTCTTTTTTTTTTTTTTTTTTGAGACAGGATCTTGCATAATTGCAGTCTTCCTGGTTCAGGCTCTCAAGTCACTGAGATTACAGGTGTATGACACAAGGCCTGGCATGTACTTTCCAGTTCTAAAATGATCCCCAATCACCTAGGGTTTCCAGAATGTTGGTGTGATTTTTCCATGTTGGAAAACCCCTGAATCCACACATAAAATTTCCAAGAATTTCTCTTCTAAAGATATTTGCAATATACTAATACTGCTGTGCTACAGTCTTACATCTAAGCCATGATTAAATGATGGTACCATAGTGTACTTCAGGATTATCAGCCCTCCTGATAATCTTGTTTTCTTCTTTATCAATATGTAAATCTGAAATATTTTATGCCTCATTCATTTTTCTATATGACATATCTGTTTTGAATTTTCAAAGTGTAAAAGTGGCAAAGAAAATGGGAGATAAAAATTTCTTTCTCTTAAATGTTTGCACTTGCAGTTTACAGTGATGAAAAACTTAATAGAACAATCAGTGATGCCAGAAAATCATTAAATTTAATAGGTGTTTTCTTACAGAAGAATATATTAATTGATACAGGACAGTCCATAGCAAATTGTTTGTCTCATGGTATAATTGAAATTCTTTGTTATTTGGAAAGAGTGCTGTATTTAACCTTAGCTAGCCAGGATTTATTTATAGGCTTGTGATAACATGATTTCTATGGAAAAACACATTCCATAATGCATGTTGAGAAAAGAGTACCCTGAAATCCAGTCTTGACTTCCCCTGGGGGAGCATCTGAAAGCCTGGGAAGCATCTGAAAGCCCAGGGACCCCAAAAGAGGATTTTGCAGTGTGTATGCCTGGAGCGCCATGAATTATCAAGGCCTTCTATGATTGTCCTGTTGTAAAATCTTTGAAATATATTTCCCAATGTAAATCATGTTCTTATTTCTAGATTGAATTTAAGTATGGATTATTGAACTCTAGTAAAAACACTTTATGTTTGTCTTTACTCTTTTTCAGTGTTTTGATAAGCATTTATTAAGCACCTACTATGTGTCAGGGTTTATCACTTCTTTCCAGTCCTTGGGAATAAAAAGATAAGCACACACTCCCTGCAGTGGAGAATCTCTGAGTTAAGTGATAGATTGTAAATCCATATAAATCTAAATCGTAAAATAAACTATCCACACTTTCAGTCTTAAATAATGTAACTGATGGTTCTGTTCCAGGGCCCCTCATCCATTTGTGATAGTAACACCAGGCTTTCAATTTTGTCTTGGCATTATTAACCACAGGAAGTACTATGTAATAGATTGTTTTTCACAAGTGGTTCATATGCAAAGCAGCATAGGGTATTCTCCCTGTTATCTAATGTAGCATTTGCAAGGATTTGGGCCACAAAGATAAGGAAAACAAATCAGTTATTCCAGTCCTTTTTCTAAATAGTGTTTTGGGTGTTTTTCTCTCCCCTAAGCTGGATGTAAATTAGAGTGGATTGATTTAATTATTTGATATAAAAACTTTCATATGACTAATGTTTAAATGTTTAAAGAATACTTCTTTACAAATACTAGATTGGGGAGGGCTCAGGAACTATTGTAATGCCAGTAATACCTTAATATTCATATATTTAAAATTCAGAAATATTTGTTTCTAGTATAATGCTTAACACAGTAAGCATGTCCCAGAACTCTTCTTTCTCAAGAGAGTAGGAATCTTGTTTTATGATTTTTGTGTTTCCAACTTTTTCCTCACTTGAGTCTTTGCACAGAATATTAGAATAGGTTGTGGTACAACTGGTATAGCTTAATGCAAAAGCTTAAATCTTTCCCATGTAAGTCAATTACATGGAGAGTTGTGGGGAGGAAAGTAAACTGGAGAAGAGACCAGGGTGTAGTAACCCAAGGGAAAAGTGATTTGGGGTAGGGAGAGATTTTATAGGTAGAATCACAGATTGGGTGCTGGGGTTAAGTGGCATGATCTAGGCAGGCTCATGGCTTAGGCAATGGTAGATGCTGGGATTAGAGGAAGAACAGCTTGGGGGATAGGGGATAGTGCAGAAGAAGTTAGCAGACCTGGGTTGCTACATATCACTCTCAAGACAGGTCTGTCTGTAGGACTGGCCCTGTTGGCTCCTGAGAATACCCCTGAGCCTTGGCATCTTCTGCCTGCTAAGAGAGTATTTGTATGTCTCAGATGTTGGTCCCGGTCCAGGCTGTACCAACGTGAGCAAAAAATTTATCCTAACAATGTGATTAATGGTGAATGCCTATGTTAGGCCTAAAGTCTGAATAGTTGATGTCAATCACATGTGTGGGCTCTACATATCTACTCAAAGTACTCCTGGTAACAACTCCAAACACCAAGCCCTGGGTAAACTGGCAACACTTGGCATGTATTGTCACATATTATTGTGACTCCACTGGGAAAGGACAGCTGGAAGTTTGTGCTTGGTTTCTCCTAGACTTTGCCTGTATGTCTCTTCCCTTTGCTGATTGTTTCTTTTTGGCATGATGATTTTGAGCCCTGAGAGTCCAAATAAATAATCAGGTCTAAGGGTGATCTTGGAGACCCCTGACACAGGCACAGTGATTGTTCTGGGCCCTTAGAATTTAGAGACTAGTCATCTAAGCTCRTGTGTCAAGTAGACAATTGGATACAAGGGTTTTAGAGCTCAAAAGAGAGGTCCAGGCTAGATAAGGCTCATCTTGCAAGATGAGGGATTTGCCAGGGACAATGCTAGGTCACCATGCCCCAAGGATTCTGGCTGTGATTTAGTCCAGACTTGACTTCTAGATCACCTGCTCTCAATCTTAACAGTACTGACATATTTAAGTTTCAGTTTTCTATGAACCACATTATAAAAGCTAAAATCAAAAAGGTGAAATTGGTTTTGATATAATTTAATCTACCCAAAATATAATCATTTCATACCACAGTCAATATAAAATCATTAACAAGATAAGGAAGGAGTCTCAGAAGGCTGCCGCCAAGGTGTCAGGCCACAAGGTATCCCAAGGTAGCCACAGAGGCTCCATGGGGAAGAACCTTCTCACATGGTCACTCAGGTTTGCAGAATTCAGTTCCTTGGAGTGGTATGATGGAAGGCTCCAGTATCTTGCTAGCTGTGGGGTTGGAAAGAGGGAAGTACCTGCAGATTACCCACAATTTCTTGCCATGCCCACAACACAGCAGCTTGCTTCCAAAGCCAGGACAAGAGATTGCAACAAAACACACTTTCTTATCTATGCAATCACATGTAAGTGCATACATTCTGGCCCCTTTACCACATTCTATTGGTCAGAAGCAAATCACAGGTCACTCCCACATTTGAAGGGAAAGGATTAATAGGGGAATGGCAATCAGTTATCCTGGAGTCTGGAGTTTGTCCACTATACCCATCAATCCTACTTCATAGGCACAATTTTTTTTTTTTTTTTTWAATTTGGAGCCGGTCTCCCTAAGTTGCTTTTAGGGCCTTGCTGAGTTGCTGAGGCTGGCCTTGAACTCGTGAGCCAAAAATTTAGATATTTTAATAGCCATATCTTTTGTCACTTTAAGTTCTTTTTGAAACAGAGGGGATGAAGCTCAAAAAATATGAGCCTTTCCCTTCAAATGTGGGAGTGACCTGCTTGTTATCTGGATGTTCTTCAGGGAGTGGTTGGTTTCAGCCTTTTTTTTTTTTTTTCAGTTTTTATTGATAAAATATTTACTCTCATAATTTTATGTTAAACCATGTTTTAGTCTCTTGGATTATATCTAGGGAAAGGCCAATTTACTACCAAAGCATGCCCCATTGGCCAGCAGAATTAAAGCATAGATGGGGCTGGGGGTTGTAGCTCAGTGGTAGAGCACTTGCCTCGCAGGTGTGAGACACCGGGTTCAATCCTCAGCACCACATAAAAATAAAGGTATTGCATCCATCCATAACTAAAAATATTTTTTAAAAAATGCATAGATGGCCTGGCATGGATCTGAGGCTCACTGAGCAGAGTCAAAACAGAACACCTTACACAGCACAGGGTCTTTTTCTGGGTCACCAGGATTCCTCAGATCTATGTCTAATGGAAAACTTCTATTGAAAACTGTTGCTGATACGCCCTTCTAACTTCTCTGTGAACAGCTTCACAACATGTCTGGCCAATAAAAAAAAAAAAATTAAGGGAGACAAATTTATGGCATAGTGATTGAAACTGGTAGAATAATCAAGGGAAACCAATGGCAGCTTGTGTTTAAAATTAAAGTTCGTGTGGAAAGTATGACATTTACCTAACAGAATTTAAAAGTCACCAAAACAGTGAAACAAGGCCCAGTTGGCCGTACCACATGGACATTAGCTAGTTCCTCAGAAACTGCCTATTGTCAGGGTTTCATGTTCATGGACACAAGGAGGAGAGTCTTATGGTAGGGACACTCCTCTCCTGCAGGAAGTTCAAGGTCTTTTGTACGCTATCACCAAATAACATTTGCTTTACACACACACACACACACACACACACACACAGATTTTTCCGGTCAATACATATAGATTGCATCAGTGTTTCGTTGCTTGGTAGTCTATTGAATGTTTGATAATTGTTTAATCTTTCCTAGTTAGACAAGATTTTCAAGTATTTGTGCATAC